GACCAAATGGCAGCAGCATACTCAATCTTCGGACGCACAAAAGTTTCATAGGCCAGCTGGCGCAAAGTTGGAGGGGCTGAGTGCAGACAAAGTCGAATGTAACCAAGCGTTCTGGAAGCTTCGGCATGTATGGAGTCAATGTGGAGGGTCCAAGACATAGGGGAAGAAAAATGAACGCCAAGGTATTTTTGCGATTGAACACACTCAATTGTTGGTGAGCCTAGAGAATATTTGAAAAGAGATGGGGAATGTTTTCGAGAAAAACAGACAAACTTACATTTAGAGTGGTTTAGTAACATTAGCCATTGATCACACCATTTGGTTATATTATCGAGGTCTTTCTGAAGAAGGTGATCCGAGGAGCAATTTATTTGGCGATAAATGACACAATCATCAGCAAATAAACGTATGTTAGAGGTGATAGAATTTGGAAGGTCGTTAATAAAGATCAAGAAAAGAAGCGGACCTAGGACACTGCCTTGTAGGACCCCAGACAAAACATCGGTAAGTCTTGGTTCTAAAGTGTTGACGACTGTATATTGGACTCTGGATGAGAGAAAGCTGCAAATCCAAGATACGATTAAGGGATCAATATTGGGTCTCGATAGTTTTGCGAGTAGGCGTAGGTGAGGAACCCGATCGAAAGCTTTCGAAAAGTCTACGAAGATGGCATCTGTTTGAGAGAGCGAGTCAAGGTTAGTGTGCAGGTCGTGAGAAAATTCAAAAAGTTGGGTGTCGCAGGAATAACCCTGGCGAAAATCATGCTGGTTTTGGAAAAAAAAGTTGTTACAGGTTAGGTGATTATAACGTTAGAGAGGATGATATGCTCCAAAAGCTTCGATGCAATGCATGTGAGCGATATGGGACGATAGTTATCAGGAAGGGATCGACCTCCGCTTTTGAAGACAGGAATGACCCGGCCAAACTTCCAGTCCGTTGGAACGCAGCCGTCTGACAATGAATGGTTATAAATGAGCTGAAGAAATAAACAGGAGATGTCTCTCGTATTCTTCAGTATTTTCGAGCAAATTGTATCAGGTCCCGGGGCAGAAGATACCTTCAGTTTATCTATAAGATTAGAAATTCCAGATGCAGCGACAGTGATCGGAGGCATTTGGGAAAACGGAAGTAGAGGGAGGGAGGGAATATTATCTGGTGGCTCCGTTGTGAAGATGGAAGAAAAGTAATCATTCATTACTGACGGGGCAAGTTCGCCGGGCACAACGACACCGTCCTTGTCAACTAGCTCAATGGACTGCATACTAGGATTGGGTGTAATCGTTTTCCAAAATTTAGTAGGGTTGGTTCGAAGAATGTTGGGCAAGTCCTGATGAAAATACTTCTTCTTGAAAGTCTTAATTAACGCAGTGTACTCTTTTAGGCACTGAAAATACTTATTCCACACAGGAGAACCACTAGCCTTCGCTTTTCGAAAAAGGCGCTCCTTTTTGTTATCAACTGATTTCAGCTTTTTATTGTACCATGGTTGCCCAACATCTCCACGAATCCGCAGCAAGGGAACGTGTAAGTTGATCAGGTCAGTAACCTTTTGCTTAAATAACAACCAATTGTCCTCTACGGATCGCGACGAAAAAGAAGATAGAAAGACGTCAAAAAAGATGGTGAGCTTAGCATTAATACCAGCGTAATCAGCTTTATTAAAATCGCGAATGACTTTAGACATGGGGGATTTAACTAGAACAGGCAGTGTGATCAATATATTCATTATTCTATGGTCGCTAAGACCAGGCATGTAAATAGTAGATTGCACAAGATCGGGCGATGATACAAGGACTAAATCAAGGATATTATCATCACGGGTAGGCTTGTCGATCATTTGACTAAGATTGAACAACATGCAACCGTCAAGAAAGTGCTTGGAATCACGTGACGTAGATGTGAGTAACTGCCAGTTGATTTCAGGGAAGTTGAAATCACCGAACAGTAAAAGATTCACTTTGGGAAATCGTATCGTGATTTCGTTTAGGGCAGTATGTGGTTCATTAACTAAAGAACAGTCAAAACCTGGGGCCTATAGCACACTGCAAGAAGCGTTTTGCTAAACTGCGATGAAAGACAAACACAACATAGCTCGAGATCGCAAGATAGTTGAACGTAAAATGAAGGCATTTCTTTCTTTATGGCCACAAGGACGCCACCACCACGCTGCCGAGGCCGATCGCAACGATATACAGAAAAGTTCATGCTCGAATAAAAAAGCTCATCGTCGTTAACGTTCGGTTTTAACCAAGTTTCCGTAAATATAGCTATGTCGGAGTTGCAGTCGTCGAAAAGACTCCAACTCCGAGATATATATATATTTTTTTTACAATACACGAACAGTGTGTATTGAAATTGTGACCGGAACACCGGATACATGCCGAGCCCGCTGCCAACAGTCGCCATGTGCAAGTAAAATTTTGTATGTGCAAGTAACAATTTATATATGCTATGCCATATTTTGAGGTCTCAAATGTCTCCACCTTGTACTTTCTATAAGTATGTACACAATGCAATGGTAACATAGTTGCTTTACCTAATGCACATGGTCTTAAACTGGGTTCACCCAAACACCTTCGGGGCTTCTCCGAGGTCCCAATGTTTTTTCTTAGTCCCTATTCGTAAGTGGAGCTTTTTCCCGGTTTTGGAGCTCACTTTAGCAGATCTCCGACATCCAGTCATCATCAGTTGGATGGCTATCATTAAGATGACAGTGAACGCAGAATCGTCGACCGCCCCATAATATGAATGCCATGAAACGGTGGCCGTGGCGGCTTGCACGCCTTATCATGTGCTTTGCCAAGGGTAGGTGCTTGGATTGAACGCTTTTCTCAGCTCTGTTACTACTTCCTGCAGAAAGTGCGAGGAAGGGGGAGGTACCTTTCAGACGTTATCGTGGGGCACTGTGGTTACTTTATAAAAAAAAACTTAAAGAAATACAATAGCATTTCTTTCAATTCATCCGGACACACTCATCCCTGGAAACTCGAGGCGGCATTTGTTATAAGGTGCCCGAAATTTTTTCTTTTGTAGAAACATTCATTGCTTAATCACTGCCCATTTTACAGTTATTACTGTTATTAGCATTCATTGATTGCTTGGGCTTTTCTCATTTTCACAATTTATCACTATTAGTGTTTATTGATGAATCCAGAAAGCATTTGACTCACGGATAATCATGCTGAGCACTGTTGACATTATTTCACGCGCAAACTGCAAAGCATTTTCCGTCAAAGACATGGCATAATGCCGACAAAAAGCGGTGCTGAAATGAAAATCCACTTTCACGCTTTCTGTGGAAGGTAGAAGTAGAGCTGAGAACAGCGTTCAGCATAAGAGCTTAATGTCAGCGAAGAACGCGACGAGGTGTGCAAGCAGTCACAGCCACCGCATCATGGTGCTGATAGTATAGAGTCTATTCACTTGCGGCTCGCAAGTGGGGCACACTGGGTGCACTGCCATCTGTGTCCGTGCCAGTTATATCGCCGCTGTTGTACTGGTCGCAATACGCAGCTGTTACTGGCAGTTCAGCGGCTGTGCGGTTTCTAGCAAATGTGGTATCATGCGTTTGCTGCACCACGAAGGACAGAAAGAGAATAGCAATGTCGGGGACTCTTTGTTTTTTGAGATCCGGAGAGTGCACTCCCTAGAATGCAACAAGACGCGGTTGCTTGCTGCTTTGAGTCAAGGCGAATCGCTCTTGCTAATCACCTAAAAAGTTCTCGCCGCCGATCTCAACAGGTACCGGGTATCCTCACAATACTTTATCTCAGGTAGGTGCAGGAACATTTTGTCGTTACCATACATAATTTTGACTTCACGCGTCGCGAGCCACTACTCGCAACCGAAGGAACTCAGTGACATTTGCCAAAAGGCACAAATGCATGTTTTTTTACCGCTGTAATTGCAACAGAATGGCATTGATAAAATTCTTTGTTCGTGGGCCCACACTGCCACGCAGCCTTTTGCCTCACGCGAGGCTGGTCTCCATTTGTAAGTGTTTGCTTCCATGGAGATGTCAACAACTGTTGCATGTTTTCTGTTACGAGCCTCCTTAAGCAGCTTGCTGCGCCGTGCAGGTGGTTGTGCAAGCCATTTTGATGACTGTAACCCCGCGATTGGAAACCCATTGAGCATTTCATGCACTCACGTGCTTTTGACAAGCACAATACGAGTTGTGGCCAATAGGCTGAGGCATGCAATGTTTGTTGACATTTCCACAGAGCCAAGGGGCTCATAAATGCTAAGGGCTTCCAGGTTGGTGGAGGCAAAAAGTATCTGCCTATGAATGTAAATTCCTGTCAATGCCGTTTTGCCACTGCTACAGATGTAAAATCACTTGTGCTCGCGTCCCTTGGAAAGTGTCATTGAACTTCGGCTGCAAGCAGGTGTAGCTTGCAGATGCGACAAAACTAATGTCGGGTAAAGGCAAAATGCGCCCGCACTTACCTAGACTAAGTTTTGTCGAGCGGTGTCAAGGTCCTTTCAGCTGATCATCAAGAGCTGTTTGCGTTGTGTCCTCGAGTACAGCTATCACGTCTTGTCGCATCCCTAGGCTCGCACTCTCTGGCTCTTGGAGCGCTGGGAGTCCCCAATGTTGCTAGTCTTTCTGCCGCCTCCGCACCGCTTGTTAGTGTGGCAGCCAAGGATAGCATATAATACCCTATTTGCTGGAAACTGCACAGCCGCATAAACTACCAGCAGTCACTGCCTAATGCAGACGGTACGAGAGCAGCAGGCAGCTGTCACAGACACAAAGATGTTGGCATACCCAGGGCGTACCACTCGCGAGCTACAGGTGAATATACCCTATTGTGCGTTCGACGGTACCGCGTTTTACTTCATGTCAATGAAGGGTGTTCAAGTCATTCTCTAGTATGCTTATTCGAGTTTTCAAGGTCGGTAAGCTTTTCCACTGCATCATTGCCTCAGTGCTTAAAATAAGCATTTCCGGTATCAATTCGAAACCCTCAATATTACACTATTCTTTTGTTTCGCAGGAATGCCAGGCCTCTTTGAGGACATGAAATCAAGAATGGCAGCTGGTCCTGCAGTGGTGAATGCTGGGGCAGCTGAGGCTGGTGGTGCTTCTGTTAGTCTAGGTGATCATATTCATCCTAATGCAAGTGGAGAGTTTTAGAAAAATCAGCACATATTTGGGGGCACATTATGCAATGTACTATAGCAGATATTTTGTACTGGTGAAATGGGATAGGTGATAGATTGATAACTGAAGCAATGTATTGGAAGAAGGCATCTTTATGAAAAAAGTACACGTTCACTCTGCACAATTTGGCACTTTCGAATTATTGTGTCATCTCATTTTTCTTTTTTGACTTTACAATGAATTGGGATGACAACCCAAAGCAGGTGGTCTTAGATGCTTTCCAGCCTGTTGAGAAGTCTACCCTTTTTTCATATTTTTTTTACTATGCCCTTGAGAATCGAGAACTCCACCCTTTTTTAATATTTTTTTACTATGCCCTTGAGAATCATTTCATACAGTCAAAATTCAGTAGTAGAGCATAGTTAGTAGCCGCTTCTTTTTTTAATTTATCTAGTGTCAAAGCATGGTTTGGATCTGCCATAAACTCTGTGTATAGCCTCTGCAGCTCGTCCTTAAAGGGCTTGTTTGAGAAGCATAGCACCTGTGTCGAGCCGTTAATGACAGCAATGCCAGAATATGACCCTGGCAAATGCAGCACGCCAGGCCCGATTGTTTGTTCTGGGTAGTCTTTGTTTTGGGAAGTCTGATTGATTGATTGATTGGAGTCTTATGGCGCGAGAGCAACTAGGCCAAAATGCGCCAGGTGCATACACTATTGCAGGAAAAGGGTTAAGGAGAAGACAGAGCTATAGTAGCTGGTGATACAATAAAAGTATGGACATGAATCGTGTAAAAGATATGGATATGAATTTCAGGTAAGTATAAAAGTTATAATCAATAAGGAATTATCTGAAAATAAAAAACATAGTGAAAAAGGAGGGGTTATAACAGGTGCAGATAGCCTGTTATTTTAAGAAGTTCCAAAACTTTAATGAAAGGTACAAGAGGTTCATTTCCTAGCAAAAATTTCGGGTGAAATGGAAGATGGGATTTGAAAATAGTGGAAAAACATACTTGTCGTTTTTGATCCAAGTACCTAGAGTGCCACAAAATATGTAGGACAGTCAACGTTTTGCCACAATGCTCACAGCGCGGGGTATTATCATTACAAAGTAAATATAGATGCGTTAAACGAGTGTGACCAATACGCAAGCGGCACATCAAGACCTCGTGGAACCGGTTCCTTTGGTGGGAACTCTCCCATAATCCTAAACAAGGTTTGATATTGTGTAGTTTATTGTCTGTTTCTTGATTCCATTCCAACCCCCAAGGTTCATAAATTGATTTTTTTAATAACTGGTTTAAAATCCTCATAAGTTAGGCCGACCGATGCTTTTAGGCCACCATTAACAGAGGCAGCCAATCTATCTGCTGCCTCATTACCTGGAATACCTACATGGCTTGGCACCCAGCATAGTTGTATATCAAGGCCAAGTAGGAGAGCGCTATTCATTTGGACACGCGCTTGTTGAACGAGGCGATTCTTCGTAACGGTAAGAGAACATAAAGCCAGTAGAGCACTCTGGGAATCTACGAACAAAATAGCCTTCCTCACACGGTCTTCTATGATGTGTTCAAGCGCCATGAGCACAGCATAAAGCTCAGCAGTGAAAATACTTGCAATACAGTCAACACGTTTCGCTCTACTAAAGTGTTCCGAATATACTGCAGAACCTACGAAAGACGGGCTTTTGGCCCCGTCAGTAAAAAATTGTACATAGTCTTGATATTTCTCTTGTAATGCAAAAAATTCCTTGAGGAGAAGCTGATGGTTAACTGACCTTTTGTTATATTTTGTAAGCGACCAGTCACATGACAATCTTACTGATTAGATTGATTAGGGTTTTATGGCGCAAAAGCATCTTAGGCTATGATGTGCCAGATACAGACTATTGCAGAGAAGGTTTCAGAGGAGAAAGAGCTTTAGTAGCTGTGGTGGATTAAAACTATGTATATGACTTGTAAATAGTGATGGAGATGAAGTTGAATATAAAATTATAGCCGGTGTAAAAGACCGATAGCACTCAAAAATTTAAAAACACAACTGTGTGGTACAAGTGGGTCGTTGCCAAGTAGAATACTAAGGTGTAAAGGCGTATGCTCGTTATATAATTGAGAAAAATGTTTTCGACGTTCTTGGTCATACGCTGGGCATTCAAGTAAAATGTGTAAAACTGTTAGAGGACTAAAACAGTTCTCACACTCTGGGGCCTCTTCCCTGCGCAGGAGGTGGCCATGAGTAAGGTGTGTATGACCTATCCTCAGTCGACACAAGACAACCTCATAGAAACGTTCACGGTGTCGAGCACTCTCCCACTCACTGATCAATGGTTTTACCGAATGGAGCTTGTTATTAACTTCTTCATCCCATTCTTGTTGCCTCTTCCTTCTAATACAATGCTTTAAAAGTGTGCTATAGTCTTTGTATGGAATGTCATGCAGGTCCACTTCTTGCTCACCAGCAGAACTTGCAGCAAGGTCCGCTTCTTCATTTCCGGGTATACCAACATGGCTAGGAACCCAACATAAAATTATTTTAATATTCCTTTTTGAAGCATCAATAATTTTATTCTGTAACTCCATGATTATTGGGTTTTTCGAAGTCTTTAATGATAAGAGTGAGCGCAGAGAACTCAGTGAATCAGTGTACACGACTGACTGCTTGCTCTTTGTTCTTACAATATGATTAACTGCAAGACGGAGACCGCATAACTCTGCTGTTAAAATAGTGGCTGTACACGCAATCCGTTTTACACAGCGAACATAGGGGCCGACCATAGCACATCCAACAAACGATTCTGTCTTAGTACCATCCTTGTAGTATGAGTTGTGTCCAGAATATCTACTCTGAAGCTCAAAAAATTCCTGTTTTATGTATTCTGGTGGAGTTTCTTTCTTTTTAATTTTTGTTAGTGAAAGGTCACAGGAAATGAGGCAGTGGTCCCACGGAGCTATAGTTTGTGGAAAAGGAGTGACGGGCATTGTACTACTCAGTCCAATTGAATCTGCTTTGGATGCATTTCTCATACTAAAAGGTGGTATTACAGTGGGCTTGTTGTCAAAAGTACGTTTATATCTCATTTCTTCAACAGCTTCTCGGGAAGGGTGCAAGGGAACCGAACGAATTCTAAGCGAATACATAAACCCTAAAGCAAACCTTCGCTTCTCCAGAGACCATTCATTTGACTCTGCGTAAAGGCTGGGGATAGGCGACGTGCGAAATGCACCAGTAGACAGCCGCAGTCCCTGGTGATGAATAGGGTCAAGCATTCGTAGGGCTGAAGGCCTTGCCGATCCATAAACACTACTACCATAATCAAGGCGCGAGCGAATCACCGATCTGTAAATTCGGAGGAGGCAGAGGCGATCAGAGCCCCAGGAGGTGTGGGAAAGCACCTTAAGGATCCTTAGTGCTTTTTGGCATTTTACTTTGAGATATCTGATATGCGAAAGAAAAGTCAATTTACTGTCAAAAATAAGCCCTAGGAATTTATCTTCAGGTTTCGTTGGAATTGAAGCGGATCGCATGGTCAACGAGGGCTTCACTGAAGTTCCCCGTAGGCGAGAAAAACAAACAGACACTGTTTTTTCAGGTGAAAAGCTGAAGCCGTTCTGGTCTGCCCACTTGAGCAAATTGTTAATTGCTAGTTGGACCCTACGTTCGCACAAAGCAAGGTTGCAGGATGAGACGGATATCTGAAGGTCGTCAACATAGAGTGAATACTGTACAGATGGTGGAATGGCCCGAGCTATTGAGTTCATTTTAACTATAAAAAGGGTCACACTCAAAACGCCTCCCTGAGGAACGCCATTTTCCTGGCAGAACTCTCTAGAGTAAGTAGTGCCCAATTTAACACGGAAGGTACGCATCCCCAGATAGCTCTTGACGAATGGTAGCATTCTACCACGAATGCCAAAACTATACAGGTCTTGCAGGATGCCATGACGCCATGCCGTGTCGTACGCCTTTTCCAAGTCGAAGAAAACAGACAGGCAGTGCTGCTTATTTACAAAAGCCTCACGAATAGTAGTCTCCAGACGAACTAAATGATCCATTGTAGACCGTGACGAACGAAACCCACACTGGTATTTGTCAAGGATATTTTCTTTTTCCAAAAAATACGTGAGTCGTTTGTTAAGCATTCTCTCCAGAGTCTTACTAAGACAGCTTGTTAGCGCTATTGGGCGATAACTGGTCGCGCATGGTGCATCTTTTCCAGGCTTTAGCAAAGGGATAACAGTGGCCACTCTCCATGAGGATGGAAATGTGCTCTCGTGCCAAATGCGATTAAAGAAATACAGGACCATGTCAACTGTAGAGGGGTGGAGATGTGTAAGCATGTAATAATGAATTCCATCTGGTCCGGCAGCCGTAGGTTTAACTTCATGCAGCACCCGTTCTAGCTCACTCAGCGTAAGGTGCGAGTTGTAAGCTTCTCGAGCACCACCGGATGTTCGAACAGACTGCCGCACTGCCTGAGTCTTGTGTTTCAGAAAAGCAGCTGAAGAGTGCTCAGAACTAGAAACACGTTGAAAGTGTTCCCCAAGGAGATCTGCCTGCTGTTCAAGGCTCTCGGGGCAAAGTCCATTTGCAGAAAGAAGCGGTACTGAAAAAGCACGGTAGTTCCCATTGACTTTATGAATTTTGTCTCACACTTCTTGGCTAGTGGCAGTGCTGTTAATTGAGGATGCATATCCTTGGAAACTTTTACGTTTAGACTGGCGGCGTATGTATCTCGCACGAGCCTTCATTTGTTTAAATTTGATTAGGTTAGTTTGCGTTGGGTAACGTCAAAAAATCCCCCAGGCTCTGTTTTGCTTTCTTTTCGATTTTTCACAGTCGGCATTCCACCAGGGTTTAGGACGACGGGGTAGGTGAGACGAAGTCATGGGGATAGCTATCATTGCAGCATGAAGAATATGACTACTAAGCAGACTGGTGATTTGATTGACAGACAGATTGTCAAATGATGTGCAAGCGAGCT